TTTGGGGTTCTGTGACGCCGTTTCAGGGCTCTGTGGCGTCGTCTTGGGGCTCTTGTGGGCCGTCTTGGAGCCCTCTCAGGGGCCGCTGGCGTCTTCTTGGGCGATTTGGGAGGCCTCTTGGCGTGTCCTGGGCCGCTGAGGAGCACACAAGGCGGGCATGCTGAAAGTATACATTTTCCCATAGGAATTTGACAATTTGTGCCTCTTTGGCGTGCGCTCGGGGCCCTCTTGGGGCGTCATTGCGGCCCCTTGGATCGTCGTGGAGCTCCCCCGAAGGCTTCGGGCCCTCGTGGGCCGTCTCGGGACCCACTGAGGCCGTCTTGGAGCGCTCTCGGACGGTCTGGGAACCCCTCTGGGACGGGCCTGAGCGATTCGGCCCCGTGCTGGCGCCGTAAAGGGGCAATTCTATGCACTTGATGCCCTAAGCTTCTCGCACGCGCTTCCACTGGCCATTTAGGAGAGACTAGGGATGACCCGCTGCTTTCCGGCCGTGGAATCTGCCCGCCATGGCGTGGGCGTGGAAGTGGAGCGTCTCTGGGGCCTCGCGGGGGGGAGGTTGGAGGGGACGGCGTGGATGGAGGAGGTGGCCGCTGGAGGGGGAGGCGGGCGAGGGATGCACGCAAGCAGACCTGAAGGCAGGAACGCGGTGATGGAGGCGGTGTCACTGGAATCACACCCATGTAGGCACGATGTGGTGTGGACAGAAGCTGTTTCTCACGCCGCGTTCTGTGCTCATCATAGCTTCTGCGGGGCGGGTCGCCGTGATAATGTGATCTGCTCTTCGCCAGGGCTGAATGATAATTTGATCTGGTAGTGTGGTGGGAATGGGGCCGTGGGCGCGGCCTAAGGCGCCCGCAAGAGGGCGCCGAGACGGCCCAAGAGGTCTCCAGGACGGGCCAAGAGGATTCCCAAACGGCCCAAGAGGGCCCCACGAACTCCCTAAGACGGGCCCCAGTGCGAGGACACCAGTAGACCTTTCGAGCGCACCGCCCGAAGACGCTCCTAAAAGGGCCAGAGATGACTCACAGAGGCTCCAAGAAGCCCTTAAAACGACGCTGGAAATTCGACGATCCCTAAGAGAGAAGCATCCAAGGCCTCTTGGGAGCCGTCTGGGGGCCTCTTTTCGTCGTCCTGGGGGTCTCTCGGGGCCCTCTTGGGCCGTCTTGAATGCCTCTTGGGCCATCTTGGAGCGATGTGGGGCCGTCTTGGGCGCCTCTCGGGCCATCTTGGGGCCGTCTGGGGGCGTCTTGGGTGCCTCTGGGGCCGTCTTGGAGCATTATTGGCTGCTCTTGGGGCTGCCTTGGGTGCGTCTTGGGCTGTCTCGGGCGCCTCTGGAGCCGTAACTGGGGGGCCGTGTGGGGTGGTTTGGGCCCTCTCTGGGGGCATCTGGGCGCGTCTTGGGGTGAGCTGGGGGGGCCTGTAGAGCTGGACGCTGAGAAGACGAAAAAACAGAACGCGCGTTTCTCTAAGGGAATTGGCCGAGTTGGGCCTCTAAGGACTCTCGGAGGCCCTCCTGGGCAGTCTTGGCGGCCTCCTGGCCTGCCTTGGGGGCCTCTGGGGCTGTCTCTGGGCCACTAGCCTCTCGGAGCCGTCCCGAGGCCGTTTTTGGAGCATCTGGACCCCCCCTGTGCCGTTTTAGGGTCGGAACCGACGACGAAACCGACGATCAAGGTCGCTGCATTGTAAAAGAGACTAGTGTCTACCCGTGGCCTATCAGCCACGAAGTATGTTCGAGTTGGCACATTGGGCCAGGGCAGAGATGTTGCCGAAAGGCGTTCGTGATGACGTTGCGCCCGAACTTCGTCTCTGCTCTTGCTGACTGCAGCTGCAGATTGCTGCTGCGTGCGTGCGGCATGCTGCTGCTGTTGCTTGCTTTTGCTGCATGCTGCCGCTGCTTGCTGCGGACTGCTGCTGTTCACTGCTGTATTTTGAGGCTGCAGAGTGTTGCTTCGTGGTACCCTTATTAGCTGACTGACGCAACCTGGAGAGAGAGAGAGAGAGGCATGGAGGGATGAGGGAGAGCCAGAGAGAAGGGGTGGTGAGGCACATGCCAGTAGCCAAGAGGTAGAAGCGAGGGTCCAGGAGACAGGTGGGAGGAGAGAGGACTGAAAAGAGAGGAGCCAGGAGCGAGGAAAGAGAGAGAGAGAGAGGCGAGGAGCGAGGGGAGAGCGGCGAGGAGCGAGGAGCGAGGAGCGTGGAGCGAGAAGAGTTGAGCGAGAATGCAGGCATGAAAAGAGGCAGCACACGAATGTCTCAATGGTCTAAGCGCGCGTGTGGGCGAACATCTGGTCTCTCGTTAGGTCGGTCATGGGGCTCTCTTTGGTGGGCCCCAGAGCTCTCTAAGGAATGTGCCCTGGGAAACCTCTTGGAGGCGGTTTTGGGATGTCTTGGGGCCTCTCGGGGGCCTTCTGGGTCGTCTTGGCTCTTGTCGTCTTTGGTCCCTGCCCTGGCCTTGCGAGCGGGTTCAGGCTTGTGTCGAGATCCGCAAAGACCCTGAAATGAGAGGGCTCGTTTCCGTGGTTCCTCCCCTGTTCCACAAAAGAGCCGCCAGAACTGCACCATCGCGGCTTGCTTCCCCATTTTGCCAATGCGCCTCTGACGTGTACGGCGTTTTTTTGGGGGGTGCTCTCTCTTTCTCTCTCTCTCTCTCTCTCTCGCTCTCTCTCCTCGATAGCACCTGGCCCGGCCAGCGATATATAAATTCATGCAGCGAACCGCGGCCCGAAAGATCCGGCAGCTCGTGCCCACGTGGCCTCCAGAGCCGCCCAGGGCACGGCGGACCGGCCGCCGCGTTTCCTCCCATCCCTGCCCTCCCTGCCTGCCGCCCTCGTCTTGGTCGTCGGTCGCTTCCTCACCTTGCCTCAGGGCTCCTTCGCGATGGCTTACATCAGGAGCTCGACCACAAGAAACCTTCCGCAGGAAACCCAACCCTTAGACCCCATGCGTCCACTGATTTTTGGTATGGGAACGTCACGCCTTCCATGGCAAAACCATCGACACCGAAAAAACCAAGGGCACTCTGGAGGCAAACAGGGTGTTTCTTGGCATGCGTTTCCGCTGTGGGGAGGTGTCCTCGCCGCCCGAGCGATGCATCAGCGATGCACCGCCGATGCCCCAGCGACGTCGGCGGCGCACTGGCGACGTCGGCGCAGAGAAACTCGGGCTCCACATCGAGCCGCATCGCCGATGCATCGGCGATGCGATGCGATCCTCCGACCCCGTCTGCTCCGACCCCTATCTGGGAGGCTCGGATTTGGACGCCCGAAATGGGCACGGAAAAAATCGGTGCAATGCCCAACAACGAATGTTGTCCCAAACCAACAGCGGCCGCTGTTGGGCAGGCGTCTGTCTCAAGTGGACATAGGCCGCGGCGGCGCGGACAGCGAGTCCTGTTCAAAACGAACAGGAACTGCTGTTGGGCATTGTACCCATTTCGTTCCGTACCCATTTCGTTCGTGCCGATTGGACTCTTCTTCCTCGAAGCTGGCCCGGGGCCAGCCCCAGGAGCCCCGCGGGCCGCGGCAGGCGGCCCGGAGCGGCCCCCGGGCCACGGCCCCCTCGCCCCCGCGCGGGCGCCCCCACCCCGGCAGGGCGCTTCCTGCGGAGGCTGCCCCCTGGCACCGTAGGGCGCGGTCGCGCCCCCCCAGCCCTCAAAAAAGGGAGCTTCGATGCTGCAAGCTGCAACCACGAGGCATCGCCGCCGACATAGCGACGAGACGAACGAGAGGGCCAGCGGGCCGTGAGGACACGCTCTCGACTGCGGGCGCCCCGTCGATGGGTGTGCCGCGCGCAGCGCGCCTCGCCCGCCCCCTCGCGCTACGCCGCGAGCGACAGGGCGTGCGTGCCGCGCCTGGCGGGCGCACCGCACCCGAGAAGCGTGACGCGCAGCATGCGCGGACACACAGGAGTGGGTGGGCGGGGAAAAGCCCCAACGCAACGCGCAACCCCCTTTCTCCCCGCGTACCAGCCGCGGGGTGCGCTCGAGGGTCGCGCGTCGCCTCGCCCCGTGACTTCGCACGATTCGTCCCTCGTCGATGCTACCCCACGAGGCATCGCCGCCGACATAGCGACGAGACGAACGAGAGAGCCAGCGGGCCGTGAGGACACGCTCTCGACTGCGGGCACCCCGTCGATGGGTGTGCCGCGCGCAGCACGCCTCGCCCGCCGCCTCGCGCTACGCCGCGAGCGACAGGGCGTGCGTGCCGCGCCTGGCGGGCGCACCGCACCCAATGAAACGCGCACGCAAGGCGCGGCCGCACGCCGCGGGCGCGCTTCGCTCCACCCAATGCAACGCGCAGGCGGGGCACGGCGTGCGATGGTGCGTGGACTTATACGTTGCCGTCCGTGGCCGGCGCGTCGGAATCCGAACCGCTCTCAGCGAGGTGCTCCGACAAAGCCACCTCCTGTTGAACCGCGGGGAAGCGAGTGTAATGCTTAAGAATGACCATGAGCGAGCGCCATTCGCCCAGCGCGGCGATCTCCTCGAGCGATTTCCCGCCCAGAAGAAGGTCCCTCGCGCGGCCCCTGCGCTCGGGGGTCGCGCGTCGCCTCGCCCCGTGACTTCGCACGATTCGTCCCTCGTCGATGCTACCCAACGAGAACGGGTGCTGTCAGGTGGGGGTGCAGCGCAACGAAAGCGGAACGCCGCGCAAGGGTTGACACAGTGAGGACGCTAAAATCAGGACGGCCGTGGGCTCTGGAGGGGCTCGTGTTTTCGGGCCGTTCCTTCGATTCATGTCGTGGAACCTGTTTGTGGCCAAGGCCAGCAGTGGCTGAAAAGCCCCTCCGTTCCTTATCATGCGTTCCTTGCGGTACAACGATGACTGCAGTCACGGGCCGCCGATCCGGCGTGTGAGAGTCTCTGAGAGCGTGGACTTGAGCTCGCTCAAGCTTCGCTCTGCAAGGGGGGGGGGGAGAGGGCGCCATTCCCGACGCATTTAGTGCTCGTGGGCGGGGAGGCCCACAGGCCCCCAAGAAGCTCCCAGGAGGCTCTGGAAGGGGGGGGGGGCGCCATTCCCGACGCATGTAGTGCTCGGGGGCGGGGGGGTCCACAGGCTCCCAAGAAGCCCCCACGAGGCCCCAGAAGGCACCCAAGAGGCCCGAAAGATGCCCCACGAGGCCCCAAAACGACCCCGAAGAGGCTTCCCCAGGTCCCTTGCTCAATCCCCCGAGCCTCAGTGCTCAAGCCTGAGCGTTCTGAGTGGGCCCAGACCCCAAGCTCTCAAATCTCTCGAGGCTCCCCGCGCCCCAACTGGGGCCCCCAAAATGTTCCCGTATGATTTTTCGAGCCCAAAAGAGGCCCAAGACGGGCCAATCCGGCTCTAAGAGGCCCTCAAGACGGCCCATGAAAGCCCCGAATCACCGACGATCGGCCCAAGACGCCCAAGATGGCCCCACGGCCATTAAAATGATGATGATGATAATGATGATGATGATGATGATGATGATGATCATCATCATCATCATCATCATCATCATCATCATCATCATCATCATCATCATCATCATCATCATCATCATCATCATCATCATCATCATCATCATCATCATCATCATCATCATCATCATCATCATCATCATCATCATCATCATCATCATCATCATCATCATCAGCATCATCATCATCATCATCATCATCATCATCATCATCATCATCATCAGCATCATCGTCATCATCATCATCATCAGCATCAGCATCAGCATCATCATCATCATCATCATAATCATCATCATCACCAGCAGCATCGCATCAGCATCAGCAGCTGCATCATCATCATCATCATCATCATCATCATCATCATCATCAGCACTATCATCAGCATCAGCATCAGCATCACATCAGCATCAACATCAACATCAGCACATCAGCAGCAGCAGCAGCATCAGCATCAGCATCAGCATCAGCATCAGCATCATCAGCATCAGCATCAGCATCAGCATCAGCATCAGCATCAGCATCAGCATCATCATCATCATCATCATCATCATCATCATCATCATCATCATCATCATCATCATCATCATCATCATCATCATCATCATCATCATCATCATCATCATCATCATCATCGGGGGGGGGGAAGTCTGTCCATATTCACCGCGGGCCGAGGTCCCCGAAGAGCGACCCCCCAGGCGGTGGCCAGGGATGAAGCCCCCATCTCAGAAAAGCGTCGGCCCATGGGAAATGGCATTCGAAGAAATCCTCCTGTGCGATGGCCGCTGGAAAGAAACTATGTGCGTCTGCATTATCACACCGGCTGCCTGGCATGACCCCACGCCCACGGCGCTTCGTGAGATGCCTGAAAGGGCGAAAGACCGATCTGAAGGAAGCCAGGGAACCCGGCCGAGTCGCCAGGTGACCTGTCATACGCTGTGATGCCCAATGTGTAACTGATCTCGTTCGGTTCTAGGCTGCTCTCCCACGCCTCGCTGAGCAGCAACAGCGCTTGCTGCCACGGGCCGCATCTCGCACACGCGCTCATACCAGCGTTGTAGCTGATCACGGTAGGATCCAGCCTGGACTCCCGCATTTCGCTGAGCAGCGCCAAACCCCGCTGCCACTGTTTGCCCTTCTCGCACGCGCTGATCCCAGCGTTGTAGCTGAACTGTGGCTGATCCGTTGACAACGTCCACAGCAACCTGCCCGATCTGATCCTGTCATCCCAGTGGCCACGAAAGCTTACTCGCATGCAAGGGTGAGGACCGCTTGTTTGCTCGACTTCTGGTGGTGAAATTGCTGGTCTGGTGGCCTGCACTTCGTGGTCCTGTCGTCTGATGTCTTTGCTGATTGCTTCGTTGCTTGCTCGTCCGCTCGCGGCCACTTACAACCGTTTGATGATTGGGGCCGTATTGAAGCCACCTGGTCTGGAGCCCATCTTCGAGGCGCGCCGGGCCACTCCGAGGCTGTGAGATGCCCTGCCGGTGGGGAAGGTGCCAGGGGCCAAGAGAACGGAGCGAGGAGGAGTGAGGGGAGACGAGCAATGAGCGATGAGCAATGGGCGAGGAGCCTGGAGCGGGAAAGAGCGACGAGCACACGAACCTCCCAATGGCCTCGACGCGCGCGTGGCCGAACAATTGGTCTCCTCTTGGGTTGCGCATGGGCCGTATTAGGGCCAACTTGGGGCCTTTGGGGGGCTTTCGCCAGGGCCTCTCATGCTCCAGTGGGGCCTCCCGGGCCTCCTGGAGCCATCTGGGCGGCCCTTTGGAGCTGTTCTGAAGAGGTCTGGGCCGGGCACGGGAGCTCCCGGGGGGCCCTCGCGGCGCCTCTTCGCCTTCCTGGGGGCCTCTCAGGGCCACTCTGTGCCTGGGGTCGTCTGCGGATGTGCTGGCGCGGCCCCGGGCCGCCATGGAGCCGTCTTCGAGGCGTGTCAGGGCCTCTTTTGGCGCCACCTTTCGGGGCTTCGGAGCCATCGTGAACGGACGGGGCGAACGCGACAACTGGTGCAACTCTGGACAGACTTTTGCAGTCGCGCAACCTGCCGGCCATCCGCGGGCACACGCGGGAAGCTGCTGGAGCCATCTTGGGGGCAAGCTCCGGGGGGTGGCTTTTGGTGCCATCAGAGCCGTCTCCGGTGGCGCCAGGGGGTCGCTGCGGCCTGGGACCGCCGTCCAGGGGTCACAAGGGTTCCAGAAGCCCTGCAGGGGCTCTAGGGGCTCTCGCGGGGGACTGCGAGAGGTCAGCAGTGACACAGGCACTTCCCGCACGCAAGGGGCCCTGTACTGTAAGAGAGATGACGTCGGTCTCCAACTTCACCTCACGCATCTCGCTGAGCAGCGCCATAGCCCGCTGCCACTGCTCGCCCTTTTCACACGCGCTGATCACAGCGTTGTAGCTGATTAGAGCTAACTCGTGGACTTACGTCCACGACAACTTGCCCGCGTGCAGAAGCTGAGATCGCTTGCCTGCTTGCCTGCTGGTTTGCGAACATAGCTGGTAGACATATAGCTGTCTTCCCGACGTCACTGCCAGCATGCTGGAAGGCCTGGCGGTCGCAACTGACCCTCCGCCGCAAGCCACGGCAGCGGGGATGGCCGCCAGCCGGCCGCGGGCAATGCAGCGGATGCTTGTTTTCTGCTGCTAACTACTAATTGCTGCCGCTGCTGGCGCGTGTGCTACCGGATATGGAGGCCGTGATGGGGGGCCCTATGGCCGAAAATATTGGGGGCCTCATTGGGCCCTCTTGGGGCCATCCTGGGCCGTCTCGGGGCTCTCTGGGGGTCTGTTGGGCCGTCGTGGCGCTCTCGCGTGTCGGGCCGTCTGGAAGCCCTCCGAAGCCTTCTACTATTCTGGGAACCCTCTGGGGCCGCCGTTGGGCTCTCTTGAGGCAGTCAAAGACCGCCCAGATGGCCCCAATACGGCCCGAAGACGGACCGAGACGGCCCAAGGAGGCCCCGAAAACAACCCAGGAGGCTCGATGGGGGCCCCAGAAGGCCCAAGGTGGCTCGCAACGTCATTTGCCATGCATATCAAAACGAGTGCAACATAAGTCAACACAGGTGCTCATATTTGTCTGGTCTAGGACTGAGTATGCCCAACTATTCGGGCACCCCGGGTCCAGTTCGCCACCAGCGTTTCGGCGTGTGGTTGGCCATCCTCTTCAGGACCTGCCACAACCAACCACACGGGGCAGGCCGACGCTGACACGAACGACTTTTTGGCCTTCAAAGAAGGGAGGAAACAGCTGCCCCCCCCCTCTTTCGTGACACCGTCGGCACCTGGCGGCTAGGCCGCTGATGCCCCCTTTTTCCTTGTGACCCCCCGCCCCCGTGACCAGAGCACTGACTGGAGCACAGGACGGCGGAGCCAACTTCGTATCCCGGTTCACGGGCACCACAATCAGAGCGTACGTGCGAAGCCCCCTCTTTGGTAAAGCGACCACTGATACTACTCTGGCTGATGGGAAAAAGGCTGTGGCTGCTGACCGAAAACGAGGAAGACGAGTTCCTGGAGAGTTTCGGCTGATAACCCGTCATTTGCCAAGCATATCAAAATGAGTGCAACATAAGTCAACACAAGTGCTCATATCTGGTCTAGGACTGAAAATGCCCAACTATTCGGGCACCCCGGGTCCAATTCGCCACCAGCGTTTCGGCGTGTGGTTGGCCATCCTCTTCAAGACCTGCCACAACCAACCACACGGGGCAGGCCGACGCTGACACGAACGACTTTTTGGCCTTCAAAGAAGGGAGGAAACAACTCGCAAGGAGCCCAAGAGTCTCCCCCGAAGCCGTCTTGGAGCTGTCTCGCGTCGAAAAGCCTGCGAAGCAAAAGACATACATCTTCCTTTGGGTGTTGGAAAGCTTTGCAATTGCCGTGGTCTTCTGGACAACTCCTGCAAGGCCTCTTGGGGCGTCTAAAGGCCTTTTGGAGGCCTGTTGGAACCGCTTGAGATCTCTCGGAGGTCCTGTCTGGCGGCTGTCGGGGCCAATTCTGGCCATCTCGGACATGACCGAAGACTGTCTCTGCGACGTATTGGGGACCCAGAACCCTCAGGGACCCGCAGGCAGGCCGACGCCGCTGGATGCCGAGAAAGCGATTGGCCCACGCACTTGTCCCAGAATTGAGGGGATGGTGATAGCTTCGGGCTCCAGTTTCAGAGTTTTTGACGTGGCGGCTCGCTCTCGGGAGCCTCGGGTTGAAGAGCTTACTGTGTTCTGTTCGCTCTTGAGAGCCTTAGGTTGAAAAGCTTTTCACTGTACCGATCGCTCTTTTATTTGACGTCTGTGCGCCTTCTCAGTGGTCCTTGAGGGGGACTTTTTGGGGCCCTTCAGGGGCCCTTTGGGCGTCTTCGAGGCCTTGGACCGACCGCCTTGGAGCTCTCTGGAGGGCTTCCTGGGGCCCTATTGGGAGCCTCATCGGGCCCTCTTGGAGCCGTCTTGGGGCCCTCTCAGGCCGTTTGAGGGCCCCCTTGGGCCGTTTTTGAGCCCTCTTGGACCGTCTTGGGGCCCTCTTGGGGGCCGCTTGGGTCGTCTTGGGGGTTTGAGGAGGCCTCTTGGCCAGTCCTGGGCTGTGCAACAACGCAAAAGGCGGATATCCTGAAAATGTACGCTTTCCCACAGGAGTATGACAATGTTTGCCTCTTTGGCGTCCTCTCGGGGTCCTCTCGAAGCGTCTTTGGGGCCTCTTGGACTGCCACCTTCCGAGGTCTTTGCGGCGTCTTGGAGGCCTTGGATCGTCTTGTGGCTCGAGGGAGGGCTTCCCAGGGTCCTCTTGGAAGCCTCTTGGAGCCGTCTTGGGGCCCTCTCAGGCCGTTTGAGGGCCCCCTTGGGCCGTTTTTGAGCCCTCTTGGACCGTCTTGGGGCCCTCTTGGGGGCCGCTTGGGTCGTCTTGGGGGGTTTGGGGAGGCCTCTTGGTCTGTCCTGGGCCGTGTATCAACGCAGAAGGCGGATATGCTGGAAATGTACGTTTCCCATCGGAATGTGACGATGTTTGCCTCTTTGGCGTCCTCTCGGGGCCCTCTCGGAACGTCTTGGGACCGCTTGGACGGTCTTGCAGCCACCTTCGGAGGTTTTTGGAGCGTCAAGGTCCGTCTCGGCACCAACTGAGGCCGTTTTGGAGCGTTCGCGGACCGTCTTGCAGCCGCTGTGGGGCGCCTCTTGGGCCCTCGTGGGCGATTCGACCACGTGGTGAGGGCGAGTTTATGCACATGAATCCCCGCAAATTTGGCACGCGCTTCCTCCCGCCATGTAGAAGAGACTAGGGCTGACCCGTGGCCTTCCGGCCACGAAACAAGTCCGAGATGGCACGTTGGACCAGGGCAGAGATGTTGCCAAAAGGCTTTCGTCATGGCATTGGGCCCGAACTTCTTCTCTGCTGTTGCTGCCTGCAGTTTCAGTGTGATGCTGCGTGCGGCATGTTGTTGTTGTTGTTACTGCCTACTTTTGCTGTGCTGCCTTTGCCTGCGGCGGACTGCTGTTGTTCGCTAGTGCTGATTGATGCTGCAGAATGTTGCTTCATGGTACCCTTGCTAGATGACGCGACCTGCAGCTCCTGGGTGGAGCGAGGAGCGAAGAGCAAGGAGCGATGGATCAAGATCAAAAGAGGAGGTGCGGGAAGCGAGGAACGATCAGCGAGGAGCACGGAGCGAACGGGATACGTAGAGAGAGAGAGAGAGAGACAGAAACACAAAAATCTCAAAAGAAAGAAGGAAAGAAAGAAAGCGAGGGAGGAGAGGAGGGATAAGGGAGAGCCGAAGAGGAGAGGGGAGGCAGGTGCCACTAGCCAGGAGGGAAGAGCGAAGGACCAGGAGAGAGGTGAAGGAGCGAGGTGGCGTGAGAACAGAGGAGCCAGAAGCGAGGCGAGGGAGGCGAGGGGCGAGGAGAGAGCGGGGAGGAGGCGATGCGCGTGGAACGAGGAGCAAGGAACGAAGAAAGAGGCATGACAAACACACAAAAACACTCGCATGTCTACATGGCCTCGGCGCGCGTGTAGCCGAACATCTGGTCTCCTTCGTTCATATGGCTCTCTTGGGTAGTCGGCGCGGTCACACGGCTACCAGGGATCTTCCCTCGGAAGCCTCATCGAAGTGGTGTTTGAAGTGTCCTGGGGCCTTTTTTCGGGGCCCGATTTGGGCGTCCTGGGGGCCTCCTGGGTTTCTGAAGGGCCTCTTGGGGAGCTGCTGGCTGTTTCTGGGAGCGTCCTGGAACGGAAGGCGGGAAATGTCAGTTCGAATTCCCGTCTTGGGGGGGCACGTTTGGTTCTTTTGGGCCGTCCTGGGCGCTATCTGGACCACCCTGGGGCCCTCAAGGTCCGCATGTGGGTTCTCACGGGAACCTTTGAAGCTGTTTGATAGGAATCCGAAGAACCTCCAGGGCCTGCTGGAACACGGCGAAAACGACAAACGAACATGGTAGTCAACGCGGGCCCCAAACCGTGATTCCAGCCACTGGTGCTGTGCAGTCTATGGGGTGCAGTTGGTTTGGCTCCTTTGCGCGTGACCACCTCCCATGCTCATGCCAACGTCCCGCCTGCCCACCCGCAACGTGGTTTGCAAAACCCCGGCGGCGGCGATTGCGATGACTGTTCGGCGTTGGTTGGCGCATCGCTGCGGCCGCGCTGGCGCGCGCAGGCTCGCGCGCAGGGCGACCAGCTAGTTTGGCGCGACCGACGCGGCCGCGGTGACGCTGACCACTGGGGATTTCCCAGCGCAGCTCGCAAGCCGCATTGGCGCGCGGGCGCATCAGTGCGAGTCGGTGACGTGGGCGGGCGCGGTATCATGGCGACATCGACAACGGCAGACACAATGATGATAGTAGCGATGCTGGTGACGACGATGACAATGACGACGGCAATGCCACTGATGGCACTGATGACGACCACGCCGAAGACGATGATGGTGTCCACGTGTCGGTGATGAAGATGTTGGAAACATTTCCACATGCGCGCGCGGCCGGCGGGCGCGGGTGGCCCGCATTGTATCATTTGATAAGGACCGCGCCCCCACCCCCAACACGCGCGCAAGGGCGTTCGAATTGATTCTGACACGCGCGCGCGAGAGGCCCGTTTGGTCGAAGCTGCGAAAACGGGCGAAGGTTTTTTTGAAAACCCTGCGACGACACAGGCGCGCGGACGCTGTCCCATCTGAGCAAGGAGTGCGCGGACGCTGGTGATTTTAATAACACAGCGTGCCATTCGTTCTCCAATGATCAGGAGGGAGCGAAACCGGCTGGGCTGGGATGGTACGAGATCGCAACCCGAATGAACGATGGGGCAGACTCCTGTGTAATTTGCGAGATCCGAAGCCGCACGGATAATCGGGGGGAGGTCCTGGTTCACCTCTACCCAAACAAAATGGGCACTCTACGCGGTGCAATTTACAACCTTGCGCCGCGCGCGACCACCT